TGCTACTACTTCACACCACCATCCTTAAGATGGAATTAAAGTCTGAGAGAAGCAAAGTGGAAAATATGACATTAAGCAATGATGAAAATTGGGATAATGAACATCTTCATATTGTGAGTACATAAATGACTGACATATAAATGATGCATCAACAGCCTCAGAAAACCAGCATGATCTTCTCCATCGTGCAGCCCTGATGTCAAGGGGCTCAAAAGACTGGAGGTCTGCAGCAATTACTGAGCAACTACTAGGTATTATGAACTGTTAGGTGCTAGATACCAAAAAGATAGTTTTTAGCCTCATGAGCTTAAAGTCCAAAAGAGGAACAGATACTAAGCAAATTATGCACAGTTATGCCTAAACAGTTGCGTTGAGTACTATAAAGAACTCAGATGTAATCAGAATGAATAAAGGAGAATCTTAAAAAATGAAGAGCTACCAATGATGAGGCCTGCTGTGAGCAAGGAGGGCAGTGGCAAGACAGAAACCAAAGCCTCCTGTGGGCACAGACAACCTACGGAGGAGGGCCTTGAAGTGGACCTTGGAGTCTCAAGGGGCTTTCTTTGACCATCATCTCTTCTCTTCCTTTTGGCTGCCCCATTTATACCCGAGTGATACGGTCTGGCTCTGTGTCCCCACCCAAATCTCATCTTGAATTGAAATCCCCACACGTCGGGGAAAGGACCTCATAGGAGGTGATTAAATCACGAGGGCAGTTCCTTCATGCTGTTCTCATGCTAGTTTTCATGAGATCTGATGGTTTTATAAAGGAATTTTCTCCCCTTGGCTATACAGTTCTCTCCCCTGCCACTATGTGAAGAAAGACGTGTTTGTTTTCCCTTCTACCATGATTCTAAGTTTCCTGATGCCCCCCTGGCCATACGGAACTGTGATTCAATTAAATTCTTTCTTTATAAATTACCCAGTCTTGGATATGTCTTTAAAGTGGCATGAAAATGGACTAATGTATCAAGCATTCAGCCATCAACTTGACCCAAATGTATATTTATAGGCCCAACTATGCCTATTCATTCATTCTTCTGTTCATTCAAGCCAACAAAAACATTCTGAACACCTGGCATGTCCCAAAGCAATGCTGCTGAGCTGCACACCATCATTCCCACCTCTTCACTAGAGTTCTCCACATCAATGTTCTACAAATTCCTAAAGCTCTGTTTGCTCAAACCAATCTCTGTTTTCACATCATACTTTGAATTGTGTTCATTTAGGTCACATGCCTTCTATCTGCTTTTAGAAAGTAAGCTCCCAAGGGGATTTATTCTGATGTGCTTTTTGTGTCTCCCAATTAATCTGACTGCCTAAGAATCTAGTAGACACAGGTGAAGTTCTATTACTGCACTTACTACATTGTTGTATGATCCATGTCTTAACTTCTTTTGTGCACTATACTTTGAACTTTTTAAGGATTAACAAGAATAAATAATGAATGAATGGATGGATGGATGGATGGATGGATGGATGGATGCGTACCTTCTATTTTCCTCAAAAACAGTCTTCCCACTGATTTCACCATATCATTGTGGTCACCACTTATTCTCATCATGACCAACCCACCGTCTTTCTAGGGCATCTAAATCTTGACATTACCATTATCTCCTAATTCACTGGTCTTCTTTAATATCTCATGAGCCGTCAAATCTTGTTGCTTCTACTTCTGCAGCCTTACCGAAATCTTTTCTATTCTCCCTGTCAACACTTTGGTTCAGATTTACTGCCTCTTGAAAAAATTATTGTGACTGGTCTCTCATTTTGGCTCCCCAAACCAATCCATATTACACCAGCTGTTGCCACATGAACTTTCCCACACTGTAATTCCATCCTGCCAATCCCTGGTTTATGAACACTCAAAGCCTCCCTTCAATCCACTGCATCAATTTTAGAGCACTCAGCTGGATATCAAGGCTCTGTACATTACCCCAACTACATTTTGATTCTAATCTCCCATTGCTTCCCTACTGACACCTACTCCTATTCTCTGCCATTGCCCAACCAAAATGACTATGTGCATTTTACTAAATATATCTTATGTTTTTCACCAGTTACTTCTGCTTGGGCACATGTCCCCAATTCCATACTTTGAGGCCCATCATAAGTGTCAGCTTTTTCATGAAGTAGATCCTGATACCCCAATAGATGAGTTCTCTACCTCCTTTGAATATCTACAGCTCTTTGTATTTCCTTCTTAAAGTTCAGTCTCACCTTGTTTTACTTACAGTCATTTGGTACTTATCTTGTCCACTGCAACACAAGCACCCTGAGGATCAGTGGTTTCTTTCTTTGTTTCTCTGCAGAGTCTAGTGCAAGTGCTTTGCAAGAGGCAATCAAATATTTGTTGAACTCAACGAAACTATACTGTAAGCTCCTTGAAGACTGACTTTAAGTACCCTGAGTCTCTCAAAACTTAGTGTTCTGTACATAATAGGTACTCAAAACACACTTTGTACATAATTTCATGGTTCCATGGTAAAGTTTTTAAAGATACATCTAACGTTGGCATCAACCTAAAGTATTCGTTTAGAAACCTCTCACCAATTAACATAAAGGAAAAAAGAAAGAAACCTGATTTTAACACTCTTGATTCTTTCCTTTTGTTTTACGTGATGATACCTAACTCTTACAGATGCTTATCATGTGCTAAGCACTGAACTCAAAGTCTTACGACTGTCATCTCATGCAATACTCACAACAGGACTATGAGGCATTGTTTTTTTTCTCATGTGGTGTGTGGGAGGCTTAGAGAAATAAAAATCTTCATCCTACAGTAAGCAAGTGGCAGAGCTGAGACTGGAACCCTTGTCCTCACCATCCTGCCATACTGCCTTGGTTGTGTTTGCTGAGCATGCAACAGTATGAGTTTAAAGAAACTTTTAAAAAACACTTTGACCTACATCTTAATATCATTCTTTGAAATGTAAGAACTTCTTGACACTTAAAGAGTGTTTTTTATTTAAAATAATAATAATAATAATAATAATAATTGTTACATCTATTTCATCCACTTTCCAATGTTAAGCTTCAAGTTTAGGAGGCTATTAATATTTTCTCAAATCGTGTATAGTCAATACTTGATTATGTCCCCCAAAGGATGGAGTAGGTAACAAAGACAAAAAACTACCAGATAACTGAACAGTCACTTAATTTTGGAAAACAGTCTAGGAATTTAGGATTAAAGATAGCCATTTACTTTCCATTCCCCATGCAAATCTTTACACACTTGAAAAATTCTATTGGGAGCCTGGATCCTGGCTGGCTGGCAGAGCAAAGGGGTGAGGCTTGTCACAGATAATCCACAAATAAACCAGAATGACCAGACATTTTTCTCTTTTCAAATCCCTATTCAGTCTGATTCTGACCACAATGCTGAAAAAGAATACACCAAGCACCAAGTAGTTGACAGACTGCAAAACTGAGAGAGAAGGAAAAGGGTTATACTGGTCCTAAATATGATGAAAGCACGCTGAGAAAACTCATAAACTATAAAAGGTGTTGCTTCTTTGGTTCCAGAGACACAAGCATGTGAAGCAGAGACACATGTTGGTAGAATCAAGGAGAAACCACTGCCAGACTATTCACAAGTAGCTCCCTAGCCTCTATAGTAAATATTATTACTAAAATGAGATTTATAACTCAAGCTAGAACTCCATCAAGCAAGGAAAAACTCCATTGTTTAGTAAAATAAAGTAGAAACATGACTACTAATATTTCAATGCTCAGGTCTTCGATTTCTCCATTCAAAGCAAAATAAACACCATGTAGACAGTCTGGTAATATTAACTTTTAGTATTTAGTCATAGCTACTTTCCTGGATTTAAGTATTGATGATAAAATACATTACCACTGTAGACATAATGAATCTCTGTGTCTTAAGTGATACTTTAAAATCCAAATCCCATTTATGAAGCAAAACTTCATTACCTAAATTTTCATTCCTTTAAAATGATCTAAAAATATTCACTTGTTGATATTTCAGTATTTCAAACTTATAGATCATATGTTCAGAAAAGAATTAGGGAAAAGAATCAGCCTCCAATATTCACAAATGTGTCATGGAAAATGACAGCCCTAAATACTCATGTGCACTGCTTATTGTTCTGGCAAATTCCTCTCCTGCAGCAGAAGTCATTAAAAGAAAAACAAAGCACATCATTAAAAAATGAGTTTCAGTCAAGTGAAAGTATTATATGACACTGCAAGCTTCTTAAAAAATACATTTTAACTCAATCATGAAAAAACCAAATATAAGTAATGCAAAATATAATATAAACAACAAAAACAATTTTGCTCCGATACAACTGAGTAAATACATATTCTTAACAATTTGTAACTGCTTTTAAGAAATCATCTATATTATAATTAGCTAATGTTTTTATGGATATGGGATGTTAAATGGAATGTGTATACTGGTTCCTACTCAAAAAAGAGGTTCCTGACTTCCTATTTCAGATCATCACAATTCTCACATAAACTCAAAACCCGTAAGACCTTTAATATTCTGAATATGAAGTACTGACTCTCTGGAGAAAGACTTACCTTGAAGTGAGTTGCTTTTCCTTTAAAAATGACCTTTTATTCCTTTGAAAAGCAACTTTGTCCACATTATATCTCTAGAATAATGAAAAAACCATTCATCCTGATTTGGATAGGAGTAAAAGAGGTACAGAAAAACAAAACTCATACAATCCTCCCCTCACAAACCTCAATCCTACTTCATGATTTTTCCCTTAAATTTAGCTATTTTAAAACACTAATAGTTTTGCTATATTTTCCCTGGAGCATTCTCTATCAAGATTAAAAAGGGCTTATTCGGAGACAAACAGGATACAGGAGTAATGGTGCAGCTTCCAGGCAAGCTATAAATAGCTGCAGCATTTTCAAGAAATCTTGTGCCACTGTGTAAGCTGCAGTTAAAACATGCAGTGCAGATTTTATTACAATGGTGTCACCAAAATTCATTGTTAAGTGAGAAATTCAATTCTTACCAAGTTTTCTTGGTTCCTGGCTGCTATTTTCTGCTCTTCTTCTGCCCCATTTTTCATGTATTTGACCTCTTCCACTGGTTTGATCCTATACTCATCTGAGTACCAAAAAAAGAAAACATATTTTACAAATTTTTCCCCAATAGTAGCAAAGTGTCAATCAGAAAATCCCAACAGCATACTTTGCTAGACCCTTTAGCCTGTGGCCTTCATATGTGGTTCGTTTGGAAGAAGCTTAACCAGGCATCTTTGGATCTTTTTATGAGGCTCTCTTCTCTGTCTGCTGGAAAAAAGCTCAGCACCATGAATGCAGCTAATCAAAGTGTCACTACTGCCTGGTCCTTCCACAGAGAGCAAATATTGCAGAGGAAACAGGATACTCCATCTTTAAAGACTTTTTGAAATGTATGTTACACTAGGATGTATCACAGAATTGTCTGATAAGATTCAAGAGAATATTTTTATTCTTCCCCAAGAGAATATTAGTCCAAAAATGCCAGCAATTTTCACTGATATATTCATTCTTTAATTTCTCTTTGGAAAAAAACAGAGTAAGACTAAAGAGTTATATTGATAAATAGAAACAACTGAAGAATTAAGATTTTTTCTTTCAGTGATCCCTATATTAAATTTTAGCAGTCTGCAATTATTTCACATTGAGTATATATTATATATTTATTTCACACACACACACACACACACACACACACACACACACACTTTAATTCAATCTCTCTGTAAAGTCAAATGCATGAAGAGCTATTATAGCTCATAGATCAAATGGGTAGATATTGCACTTAAGGCTGGGGTGTATAGTGGGACATGGATGGACCCTAGTCTCCTCAACAGCCCCAATTTCATACAGATCCTGATATCAATACACATCAAACAACAAACTCAGGAAAGCTTGCAGCTTAAGTTCTTCAGAATAGTGATCACCACGATGACATTTCCATCAGATTCCTGTCAACAGGAAATGACTGGAACACATGAAAGTCAAAAATAAGTGTGACTCTGAATCCTTCTTCATCCAATTTGTGGGAAAAATCACAGAAATTGTGAAATTAGAAAATATCAACCAACAAACTGACGACTGCCTGGCATAGGTTACGGAGTAACGTCTGACTATAGGGACCACCTGAAAGACAGCTGTCTATCACTAAGAGAGTTTATATTTCAGTTCAGAAAGTCGCAATATATTTTCTTTCTTTTTTATTTTTTTGAGACGGAGTTTCACTCATGTTACCCAGGCTGGAGTGCAATGGCGCGATCTCGGCTCACCGCAACCTCCGCCTCCTGGGTTCAGGCAATTCTCCTGCCTCAGCCTCCTGAGTAGC